ATTCTTACGGCAAGCTAGTTTTTTTCCTTTGCTAAAACTTTGAATGTTATTCCGTATGAATGAATTAATATTTACAACGTTATTATAGTGTTCCAATTGATTACATCACTAAATTAATTAGCGTTTTGCTGTGCTGAAGTGAATAATAGATGTATGCATTTCAATATTTCATACCAAAACCTGGATGACTATTAAATCTTCAAATTGATGTAGTTTAGTACTGAAATAATAGAATTGTTATATTTTCTTTTATTTTAATAAAAGAAATCTATTCCACAATCTTCATTTTCATGAAAGCAGTACTAGGTCCTACTATTATTTATAGGAAGTAAGTGTCTCAGCCTTAATTGGGTTTATGATAAATGAGGAGTTTAAATGTGAGGTAGGAAGAAAATTGAGGGTCGCTGATATTACTGTCTGGTTTTGGATTTATATCTGTACTGCTAATGAAGTTCCAATCCTTTTTAAGTAGCTATGTTTAGACCATCTCCAATCCAACGCTATTTTTGACGCCAAACGTTATTTTGGTGTAAGATTTGGTGTTTTGATGCTCCAACCCAACACCATTTTGGTGTGTGAATAGTGTTAAACCAAATTTGGTGTAACACTATTCATCAACACTATTACTATATATTCATCAATATTTTATTATTATCTTTACTTTTAATTTAACATATTATAAATTTTGAATTACTTATACTTTTTATGTAATACCTTTATAATATTAATTTTATATTTTAATTTTGGTGTATAATTTTTATTAATTAATTTTCATATATTTTATTTTTATATAAAATAATAAGTTAATTTTATTATAAGTTATAATTGTATATATGTAACCATCAAAAAAATAAAAAGTGCTATTCTGAAATATAATATGTTGTTAATAAATAACACAATGTTTTGCAAATCTGAAAGGATTTATTTTATGAAATAAAAAAATAAATTTAAATAAAATAAAATGATATAATATAGAAGGAGAGAAGAATATAAAAAGAATATTTTTTTTGGGTGTAAAAATAGTGTAATGGGTTGAAGTTAATTTGCACCATTTTAGTGTTTATACCATTTTGGTGTAAAAAAATAGTGCAAGAGTTGGAGATACCCTAAGTCTGTCTTTAAATGTCAATATCCCAAATTATCTCACGATTCAACTACAAAATTTTAAATCATTTGTATATATATATATATATATATATATATATAGAGAGAGAGAGAGAGAGAGAGAGAGAGAATTGGATCTTCAAAAACTGAATTATGCTGAACACGTAAGTTCATGATTATATCAGCCAGTCTTAGTGCCCTTTAAGAGAAATGTAGTTCTCATGATAACTGTTTGTGGATGTACTTTTATATCAAGGCTGTGGATCATATATTTTAAAATAGTTCAAGGACCTTATTTATTGAAAAAGTAACTTAAATAGCCTAGCCCCTGTATAATTTATGTAAACTTGCTAGAAAGAGTAAATTTCAGCGGCGGATTTACCTTTTGAGGTATGGAAGCTGAAGCACCTATTGACTTTGCCAAATTATGTTATGTATTCATATATAACACTTAAAAATTTAAAATAATTGATCATGAGTACCCATTATGATCATTTTTTTACGACGGTAAATTTACACTAAAATAAGTTAAGCATTCACGATCTGTAACCGAGATCCGTTACTGCTAAATTCGATTGGTTATTGTATAAAACTTCCTTAGGGGCCGTTTGATTGGGAAACAAGTTATTCCGTGATTAATTATTCCGGTATTAATTATCTTGAGATTAGTTATTCCACCTTCCTATGGGGATAAAAAATACTACAATCTCGGGATTAGTTATACCACGATTTTATCCCAACCAATACATGGAATAAACTCATCTCAAATTTAATTCCGGAATTAGTTATCCCTTGTCTCTCGTACCAAACGAGCCCTTATTATTTTGTGCAAGGTCCAATGCAAACCATGGCGACAATTAAGTTGAGATCTCTATTCCACCACCTTATCCCCTCTCCCTTTCATAAAACAAACTAGTATACTTACCCGCGCGATGCGCGGATCAGTTAAATAAAAAAAAGTGGAGAGAGATATTGGAGATGTATATTGCAGGCTAAATTTGCCGACCGTATTAAAAAGAATTAAACCAAAAAGAAAAAGATGAATTTAATTGAATTGTCTGTCTAAATTTTTTTGCTAGGGACCACCAATCCCCAAGATATGTTTCAACATTACTTTTTATTAAGGTCTATAACATATTCCAAATTTATTATTTAACATTCTTGCATTTAATATAGATCTTTTACGTCATCGACTTCATTGTGCAAAACATGAATTTAATGAACAATTCAGAATTGCATAAATTCAAATAACTTTATCACTAACTCTTTCAGAACACAGAAACTTTTTAACATCATTAGAATGTACGCAAATAATATGCAAGAGCTTTGAAAGTACACATAGGAAGTAATATCATCCAAATACATATGAAATATGACTCAGAGGTACACAATCTATTATTTTATAAGGCATACATGTATAAGATATTAAAAGTGAAAACTGATCCAAAAGAAAAAAGATATTTTGGATTTTCCTCGTAAAGGAACACTAATCATGACATAATAGAAAAAAAACACGATTAATGTAAGAAATCCTATCTATCTGAAACATAGTCACAAATGTATTTATGAATGAACACTAATAAAGACAATATTAATAAAAATATGATTGCTGTAAGAGAACTTATCTATGATAATAAGTTATTTCTAAAAATGAGATTGCATAAACGCACAATAAAATATTATACAATAAGTTAATTGCGAATAATTCAAAAACATTAACTAAATCAAGGAACCAAAGAAACAACTTCCATAATATTTGATACTATATACTGAGATTTCGACTTAACAATAAAAAAACATACAATTGTATATCCATCTGTTGAATATCAATACCTAGCCATCTCACGTGACCGTACAATTACTTCAAATTATCAATGAGGAAGGATGGTTGAAGTATAAGTCAATTCAAATTTTTATCTTTATTATAGTCTATAGCAATTGTTAAAGTAAATTTGTACAAGACACTTGTATCACTTGTATCACTAATCAATACATCATTAACAAAACCATAATCGATATAAGAGAACTTATCTACGATAGTAAATTATTTTTAAAATGAGCTTGCATCAACACATCAAACTAAGTGAAATATAGTACAATAAATTTATCATGAATAATTCAAAAACATGTACTAAATTTAGGAAACAAATATAAAACTTTCATAATATTTGATACAATATACTGGAAGTTCCCTTAAAACTAACAAAGCATACAACTATACACCTAGCCATTTTACATGACTGTACAATTACTTCAACTGACAATGAGGAAGGATGGTTGAAGTATAAGTTAATTCAATTTTTCACCTTTGTTATAGTCGATAGCAATTGTTAACAAATTTGCATCAAACATTTGTATCATAGGAGGACAACAACAATAATGCTTATCATATCCATTAGTATTCCAAATAACAGCCATTACAAAGGCTCTGAACCATTTTTCTTTAGCCTATGACATTTCAACGTCTTAAATGTATGACATTTCAACTTAAATTATATTCAAAAAATACATAACTACTTAGTAGTAAGGTGAGTTGAGGAAAAAAAATCTGAATAAAATAGTACTGAGTTAGCATAACAAAATCTCAGGAAAAGCTCAAAAGGAACCGTTATTTGCACCATAGGTTTTTTCCCATTTCATGTTTGGTCAAATCACACGTAACTTATGATAACTTCACTAAAAATAACACAGAAAATGTAAGTTTTAACTTTAAAAAAGTTTAAAGGTCTTTTTCTTTCCAACCAAACATGAAATAAACTAATCTCAAATTTAATTCCGGAATTAATTATTCCTTATCTCTCGTACCAAACAAGCCCTTATTATTTTCTTCAGGGTCCAATGCAAACTAACAACAACAACAACGACCCAGTATAATCCCACAAGTGGGGTCTGGGGAGGATAATATGTACGCAGACCTTACCCCTACCCCGAAGGATAAAGAGGCTATTTCCAGGAGACCCTCGGCTCAAAAAGCAAGGTCCAATGCAAACCATGGCTACAATTAAGTTGAGATCTCCATTCCACCACCTTATCCCCTCTCCCTTTCATAAAACAAATAAATAAGCAGAAGTTAGCCGTTGGCTACTTTGAAAATCTCATCCACTGAAACCTAATATAAATATATTCCTATCACACGTTCCTCATGTCCATTCTTCAGATTTTTATTCATTTTATTAAGATTTACGTTTATTATATATACACTCTTCTTGCAGTTGAACTTGAAAGAATTGAAAATTAAATATTAAATGAAAAACAGACCTGGTCTTTCGTATTGACAATTACAAGAATGTGACACTACGTCTAATAATCCCATCTTTAAAGAGTTGAACAAGTTTCGTTTTAAAAAAAATGGACATTAGTTTGAAATTCTAAAATTGTCTTTTTTCGCTCCTTATAATTAAATTATGGGAAAAAATACGAAAAAGTTGAATTTGCATCATGGATAACTCAATGACAGGGCAAACTATGTAGATTATGTCTATATAGACATTGTTATTATTATTAAAATAACACGTCAGTTCTTTAAAAATGTAATTTACTGTCAAACGATAAAAATATGAATGATAATACTATCAAAAGTCTAGATATGCTCGTAATAAATTCATATATTTTGCATGATAATAACGTGAAACAAAATGACATCATTGTATATTTGATCAAATACGATAAATCTCAAACTGAAGAATAATCAAATTCAAATAATTTATTACCCATTACTACTACATTATACAAACTTGCAACTTATATATCTTTCATTTTCAAAAAGAAAAGTCCAAAAAGGATGAAAATAGAAATTTAATTATCATCCCTCCTTTTGGCTATAAAATTAACATCATTTTAGTACAGGCTGGTTTTAAGGAAAAAATGTGTAAAACCATATAAAATTTCTCCAAATATTTCTTTACTGTAAAAAATCTCGCCTTTTTGTGTGGATAATGGGGGCAAAATGAGAACCCAAATCTACAACCAAATGACCCTTTTCACACCAACCTGTGAAAAAAGCTCACTCTTTTCTTTTTCTCTATCTTAAACAGACCCAGAATCCTTTTCAAGATTATTTTTTTCTTATTTATATTCATCACTCCCCCGGTAGCTGAGTTGGGTGAAGTTGTTTGGTGAAAATTGGTTCATTTTTATTGGTGGGATTTTGCACTTTACCTGCGCCTTTCAAACGAGTAGCCTTTAGATTCTTGCTATTTTTAATTGGATTTTTGGGGGAAAATTGATTATTTCTTTTTATTGATGCGTCGTGCGGTGCAGAAAGGATGTTTTTTCCTATGTTTTAAAGGGATTGAAGTTCCTGCTCTTGGTTATTGAACATGGCTTCTGATTGTTCTTAAGGTTTTACAGGTTTGACAAGTCGTGTTTGGTTCAGAAAATTGAGAATAATAGAATTATATCCGGGCATTGATTGTTTAATTGAAGAGTAATTTTTCCTCATTTGTTAATTTTTTAGCTCTTTATTTCCAGTTCCTATTAGGGTTCTTGACTATAGCTTCTCAAGAACAGAACTTTAATTTTTTTCTTTTGACAGAACCTAGATAAGTTTTTCTTTGTTCTGGATAATCAGGGGCAATCCGTACTTTTTTTTCCTATACCCTTTTGAATCATAGCAAAGGGATACTTCTGTTAATTGTGATTAATGCCCTCCAATTTGATTTGTCATTGGCACTTTTCTTGTTTTAGGATTTAAGAAGTTTTGCCTCTGCTACTTAGATGATTGCAACAGGGAGATTCTGGTTGTAGAACTAGGTTAGTATTATCTGCTGTGAGGAATTGCAGTGAACATGGATATTTGGGTTGTGGCTGCAGCTGCTGGTGCTGGTTATATTGCGCAGCATTGGAAGGATCTCTTAAAAAGCAGACATGATTTTTCAGAATCATCTCTTAAGTCTCCTAGTTTTATAAGAACTGACTCATTACCGCATATGCAGCAAGTCCTGGATAATAATTGTTCCTCCCCTGTTGAGACACCTAGAATGAAACTAGGCAAATGTCATGATCCAGAAGTGGCTTCCACCAGCAGTTTGGCTGATGAAAACCTAGAGATATCATGTGATTCTGATAATTGCAATTTAGCTTCTGGGTTTCTGAGTAATAAAGAGCTTCAAGGAGATCAGGGTGGAAGCATATGTGATAACATCAATGAACGGGGGTATGAGTCATTACTACCCCCGTCTACGACTGAATTGGCCTTTTCTTATGGTGGTAATGCAAGGAAAAAGGGCAGCCTTAGGAGTAGAAGAAAAATTGGGCATCTTATAAAGCCTTTAAATTCTCTAGAAAGTTGTCTCATGGCTCAATTATACAAGGAACATGGTGAAGTTGAGAACTATATTTTTAGTTCAAACTCTTCACCATGGACACCAACTGCAAGGCCATTTGTAGTTACCGATGGAAGCAGAATTATAAGCAGAGGTACGTCTAATTCCTTAAGTAACCCAAGAGGTGCTGGACATCATAAGCTGCAGGATAACTTTTCACAATTGAATACTGTATTTGGAGTCCCTCAACTACCTAGTGTTGGATCCATGGAGCTCCAGGGAAAAGCCAAGGTGAAGGATCATTCCGGAAGATTTAGTGATATCATTAAAATGAACAATGAGAGACACGGCAGTTTACAAGGTAAGTTTTTCCGTTGGACACTGTTTTTGTAACTGTTTTCGTGGTAAAATTTAATGAAATAGATAGATTAGATTTTAGACTTTGGAATAGCAACATTCTTTGAAAGAATTTAAAACCAGTAGAGCCAAGGGGATGTAGCTCCCAGGTATTTACCATCAAGATAATATGCTAATGCGCAGCTTTTTAAAATGATAGTTAACTTTAACATGATGAGACTCGTGAATGATTTAGCCGTTTACCTGCAACAGTCGATGGAATACAAAATAATTTGTAAGCGAGATGGTCGTTTTGTACCTTAATCAGTGTCATGTCTGTTTCTTTCGAAGCTCATAACTGCTCATGACTTTCCCTACTAATGGCACAATAAGTAATAAACTTCTGTTGTTTTAGTAAGTAACGCTAACAGCTCCTATTATCCCCCATTTTATGGTTGTCTTGAAATCAGGATCATCTCGTGGTGTGCTTCTTTTCTGTCTTGGAATATCTGTGGGCATAATATCTTCTTTCTGGAAAAATAGAAATGAAATGGATAAATTAAATGAGTTGCTGAGACAGTCAGAGAATTTGGTTCAAGATCTACATGAGGAACTTGAGATGAAAGATTCATTAACTGTGAAAGAGCTTGCCGCTGAAGATTGTGAGTCACAAGATACACATAATGATTCTTCAAACAATGGAGCTTTACATGAACCTTCCCCTAAAGGGAAGTTGAATAAGTCGTCAACAAATTACGATGAGGACTGTCAAAGCCAGAAGACAGAGGAAGAATCTATGAGTAAAATTGAAGCAGAGCTTGAAGCTGAACTGGAGAGGTTAGAATTAAGTATGAACTCGTCTAAGTTGGAGGGGAAACTCGCAGAACTAGATGAGGTAGGAATACTTTCTGATTCATTATCTCTATGTCCCTTTTTTTCCTTTTCGCGTAGCAAAAATACAACTTGCTTACTTTGATACTCCATTCTTGCAAATGCAATTATCTTATTAGAGAAGATAATTTAGGCATTATATGCATATAAGCATTTTGGTCCATGATCTACAACTGGTTAACTTTGATAGCTTATGAATTTATATTTTTTCAAGGAAGCCATAGCGCTTATGGTTTGTAATGGATAAGCTTGATTTTCTTATATGCTATGCAAGATAGATACTTCCATCAGTTCTTGCTATTAGAAATAATTATTCAGGAGGATCTCTCTAGTGCTTATTGATTCTGGTGGTTATGTTGCATATTGTTGCTGAGCTCTTTAGTCTCTAATACTGCTATTAGTAGGATGTGTACCTTACATTTATTAGTCATATGATCAGATCTAATATCTTTATTGAACTTTATGAAAATATATTTGTTGTTCTCTTAGACATTATATCCTTCTGCTTTCCTCAGGTTCGCCCATTTTTTTCCTCTCTTGCTAACCTCTTGATCTGGATAGTATAGATCGGCAACTTTTTCAGCTTATACTATGTCAGGAGGGCTCTTCTTTAGAAGATCGAGAAAATTTCACATCATGATGTTTGTGGCGAATGAGTTTTTGTGCTTCAATTTGCTTGCTCTGGCAGTTAGTATTGTGATCTAGTGTGCAATTTAGGCGTATCTTGTGTTTGCACTCTCTGTGTTGGAGATTTTCTTAATGTTTTCTTTTCCAGATTTTTTGTCGAACTTCTTGTCAGTCTTTAATCAGTCACTATGATCTCTTGCTTTTGTAAGTATCATCAATCTCAATCTTCATCAAGTTGCTCTTTTCTTTCGATCCTCTAACGAAGTTCAGTATTCATGTCTTTACTAGGAGAACCATTAGGTTAATGATTTGTAGGATCAGAGTATCATCCATATTTGGTTTCTAGAAGGAATCTATGTTATAGTTTGAAGAATTCATAGGATAGTTCTCAGGAGAGATTTAGAAGTTATTACTGGTGCAACTCTTTTACATCCACTAGTAAATGAAAATGAATCTCATTGCTATACGACTTCAACAACTAGAGCCAGGTTCCAATAGGTTGCTTCGGTGAAGAGAAAATGGAAGACAACCTACACCTGCTTAAGCTATATATGTATAGAGTCTGTTGTCTGCTATTTTGAAGAAGCTTTAACGAGTGTTCAATCTTTTGCAGCTTGATCCAGACTTTGTGCCAGATCTAGCTGAGGGGGAGTTAAGAGCTGAACTCTTTAGTAGACAAGCCAGAGGTCAACCTTATGCAGATCAGGACGGTAGTGCAACCTCGACCCCTCATCCTGTTGACTATGCTGTCTCGCCAAGAGAGCTGAGCTTACGGCTGCATGAAGTCCTTCAATCACAATTAGAAGAACGCCTCAAGGAGCTTGAGATGGCACTTCAGAACAGTGAGAGGAAAGTTCGGTATATGGAAGCAGAACTTGTAAGTTCTTGGAGGGATTCCTCAAACAGTGAAGGGGGTTCTTCTTCAACCCATGGTAGTCCTGTAACTAAAGTTGAACAACGTACAGCGGACCAGCCTGTGGTAATCAATTTATCCGGGGAAGCTTTAGATGCATATAACGAGGCTTTTGACGAGTTCACAAGGTTAAATGAGTCAGAGGAAGAGGATATTGCTGTTGCATCAGGGGTTAAGAACAGCAACCACCAAGAAAACTCGCACAAACGGGAACATAACTTTGACTTGATTGAGAATGGCAGGACGAATGATGAAAGTGAAGATGGTGATGATGAGATGGAAAAGTTGTTAATTAGGCATATTGTTGAGAAAGCCAGGAAAGGCTCTCCAGCAGTTTTAAATGTGCAGAGAGCTTTGTTCTCACTTGATGATAATGAACATTGATATATTCTCAATACAAAGTAAAGAGGAAAAAAAAAAAAGATTTTTGCAGTTAATTGACTACTTTTCATGCACCCACAACTTTCAAACTGCCAAATTTTAGCTTTTAGCTTATAAGTACCAGTTTATGAGTTTCAGCTTTTAGCTTATAAGCTACTCCCTCCGGTTCATAATCAATGACCTTTTGACATTTTTATTTTGATTCAAAATAAATGTCTTTTTACATAATTAAGAAGGAATTAATTTTGTTTTTCTAAAATTTGCCCTTATTTACATATTTTAATGTGTCAAGATAACAATATGCAAATTTTAATTAAGGGTAATTTAATTAAGAGTTCGTACTTCTTAAATGATGCGTCAAAAGCCAAAAAGTCACTTATTATAGACCGCAAAGAGTAATTTTTAAAAGCCAATCTAAACTCCCTCTTACTAATAACATACATGGGATTACCTTCTTTTCCTATTTTAGTTTCTCCCTAACAAGTTTCTTCTCTTACTTTTAGCCCGTTATTTCACAAATTATAAATTTACTCTTAATAATCCTTTTCCAAAAGCCCTTTAAATTGCTATTTATTGACTTTATGATTTTAGAATTTTATGTATAAAAACTTATAATAAAAAACTTTAAAAAGTGCAAATGCAGCCAATGTAGGTCATTATCTAATTAAACTTAAGCCCGACTTATAGCAAATGATTAAGAGATGAAGCGTCCTAAATCTCCTAGGACTAAAACACTTCAACTTTTTCCCTTTTCTTTTGGGGTGAGAGACTATATATTGTGCGTAGTTGCATTATGATCATTCATAATTAGGTTTCGCCTACTGTGAAGAATTGACAAAGCTTTTACACTAAAGAGGTTAGACTTCTCTCCCCTCTCTTCTCTTATAATTAGTACTTACTAATTACTATTATTTTGTTCATAAGCTGATCCCTTTTTTGGTTTTTGTTTTTCCTTTTCCTTTTTTTCCCTTCGTTTTCATGTACTATATAGCATGTTGCTTAGTTATGGAGTTCAAATTATTTTAGATCATTCCTTGCTGTTTTTTTTTCTTTCTTAAAATGCTTTTATAGTTGATGATGTTGTTTTTTGAGCCAATGATTTCTTGGAATAACCTCTCTATCTTTACCAGTGGCGAAGATACATGGTCATAAAGATGGTCAACTTACCACCCTTCATCGAAAAATTACACTGTGTACGTAGGTAAAATACTATGTTTTAGAGGTATATAACACATTGAACACCCTTTGTCGAAAAAAATTTCACTTCTTTTAAATTTGAACACCCTTGGAGAAATTCCTAGCTTCGCCACTGATCTTTACAAGGTAGGGGTAAGATCAGAGGCGGAACCACAATGTCAGCTATGAGTTCAGCTGAACCCAATAGCTTTGATTCAAGTCGTGTATTTGTCTTAAAATTTTTATTATATATATACAAATTATTAATTTAGAACCCAGTAAATTAGGATCCCGAACAGCGCTGGATCTAGAATTTTTAAAATATTTGTGCTCAACTATTTTTAATTTGGAAATTACCAATTAGTGTATGAATTATTAATTTTTCTATACAAGTAATAGTGTCTGTGTCCAAAAGAGTCGTTTGGTTCAATATTTAAGATTCTTAATATTGAGCTCATTATATTTCTAAAGTTATGGATTCATATCTACTATTTGTTGCAATTTTAGTAAATTTTTATACACAAATTTAGGCTCCGCGTCAAAAGCTATGGGTTTAATTGAATCCGTAGATACAATGCTACATTCGCCTTCGAAAGCAATTGGTGCTTAAGCACCCAGTGGTAGAGCCACATGCACCTAAGGGGTGTCAACCGGCACACCTTCGTCGGAAAATTACATTTTTTAGCTTGGTAATTTTTACAAAAATATGTATAGACACTATATAATGACACCCTTTGACTTTTTTGTGAGTTTATTTTTTAATATTTTGACTCTCGTTAATGAAAATCCTAGCTCCGTCAATGTAAGCACTCATAATAGACAATTTAGATCCGTCATTGATTCCGAACCCATAAGTTTTAAATTCTGACTCTGTCTCTAAGCAAGGTCTGTGTACACAGTGCACACTATCTTCCCCATATCTCAGTTATAGAATTACACTCGAATTATTGTTGTTTTCGTCTTAGTTATTAATTCATTTATTAGTTGTCATGATTAGGGTGGAGAGGGCTACTTTTGTTCCAAATAACACAATGGAAAAGAAGAACAAGAGTACTCTCGATATGATTTCTAGTTTTATCAAGCGTGGAAAGCAGCAACTTGCACCAAATACTAGGATGAATTCAAAAGGTGAAGATGATGAATGGATATTTATGCTGGAAAATCAAATTGATGAGAAAAGGGAGAAGGAAGAACAATTAGCAACGCTTTTAATTGTGGTTGGTATCGTGCTGCTTTATTTCAACTATTTTCCTGTGCTCCTTGTAATTGGGAACGACTTTGGCCCCTTTGTCTCCAGATTCGTTAGCTTATGCTGTGCATTGGCTATCATCGTTATAGGTTTAATAATGCTCGACCCTAAGGGATTGGAGAATCAAACCCTTAAACATTAGGTTTTTTCCCCTCGTTTAAACATTTATTTTTGACAATATTTGGTTGAGTTGAAGTAGGAGAAGAGTATTGATGTGGCAGTTTGTTGTTTTTGGAATATATTTTAATTTAGCCAAGTTCTTTATATATTAAGATAATAACTTTGATCACTTTTTTTTGCGCAAATAATTAGTACTCCTACTTAATTTGTTTGCTCAAACATAGAGTTTGGTGTAGTTTATTGTCTTCAATATTGTTGTGACTTGTGAGTCCAAAACTTAATATATTTGTATATATGCACTAATGTATGTGATCTTAGATGAATATTAATTTCAGTAAATACCATTACTTTTATATTTTGCTTTCACCGACCTTAAATCTTCTATAATTAATATAATGGTATCTTGATTGTTAAATCCTCGAATTTGAATTGTTAGGCATGGCTGTTCTCCAGAAAAAAGAAAAGTTAGAGCTAAGCAATATAATACATGTAATATGTAGGTCCAATTCTCTTCTATATAAAACAAACTAGTAGTAATTAAGATAAAAGAGAACTATATAATGTATTTAATATAAAGTTTAAAATATTAGAGAAATACTCTCTCAATTTAATGTGGTCAAATCCTGCCTATGATACAAGTCAACTTATAGTAAAATAGGAATCATTTGGTTGGCGGGATTGTTTGACCAAAAAGTATAAATCTTGGTTCAAATAATTAAATTTATGTGAATACGAGTTAATCTTAGCTAACAATAATATCCTTAGATGGAATTTTTAGAGAAGTAATGACTATCGTATTGATCTCATCGAACAGTGGTAATATCGTATAATAGATGTTCTAGTAATCAGGAACAATTATATAGCATTCAATAATAACGAACAACAATAAATGGCATTCAAGTAAATAAAAGGAATAATTTACCCAATAAATGATGGAATAAGTGAATCTTTTCCCTGACAATGAATAATAGACAGATTCTTGAATATTTGAGTTATTCTTGAATCCGATGGAAAAGTATCGACAAGAATCTTAGAGAAAAGGTGATGTTTGTATGCTAGCAAATGAGAGCTGAATCTTTTAGTGAGAATGTCTCCTTTACAATGAATCTCATATGTCCCATATCATTCTCTTTTTTTCTATTTATATAGGACATATTACTAGGAAACCCTAAGGGTCGTTTGGTATGAGGTATAAGAAGGTATAAGGGTGGTATAAAATTTAATATCGCTTTAATACTTTGTTTGGTTAGCAAACCAGGTATAAGTTATCCCGGTGTTAATTTTAACACTGAGATAACTTGTACCTTATAGAAGGTGGGGTATTTAGCATCGGTATAACTTATACCTTCTTCTTAGAAAATATGCAATTGTCATTCTTAATAGAACATACCAAACAACGAATAAATAACAATCCCAGCATAACTTATAACCGTATAAATCGTATTCTAACCAAACGACCCCTAATAGTACAAGTGCAGAGAATATCCCCTAGAATATTTTCTTTAATATTCTATCTTGAAAACATGCCATTATAGCTCTGCCAACGATATCGACATCGACCCTTATTGAAGCCTCGACTACGACTCTCATTGACTCTTCGACCATAGGCTTTACCGCTTCTCGGGTCATCTCGACGAATGACGATATGGGAACCCTTCCCTTGCTATATCTTGGTCTAAATGCTCTAAAGACAGATTTTAACCCATACAGGGATAAGAAATAACAATTCCGAGTAAAATACGAGATTGTTTTATTTTGCATTTGATTATGAGTATTAATTACTCTCAAGAACCATTTTATAATAAAATGATAAAATTAGTTATCCCATATTGGAATATTATTGTCCATCCCACCAACCAAATGACCCTTAAGGTCAGTGTGTATCTCGCTAAGAGGATGTTTGGATTGGCTTAAAAGCTGGTCAAACCAGCTTAAAAGCATTTTTGGGCTTATTTGAATGAGTGTTTGGATGGGCTATAAAAGTGCTTTTAAGCTACATACTTTTAAGCTAAAATACCAAAACAAGCCAAAAGCAATAAGTTGACAAACTCCAACTTATTGCTTTTTGGCTTATAAGCTCCTTATGTTTGATCAAGTGATTTACCTTACTATCCCTTCTACTTTTTTTAAACCCCAAAACTACCCTTCCCTTACTAATTAAAGTGTCAGTTCTCATCACTATTTTTCAGTTTATTGTTGCTGCTACGTTCACCAAAATTAGTAACTTTTTTGAAGTGCTAAAAGGGAAGCCAACAGTAGCTTTTTAAATAAATGTTTGATATACTCTGATATTTTGTAAATATTATTCTTTAGCTTTTTTTTGGGTTCCATAACAATTAATTTTTTTTTTGTGTGGTTGAATCCGTCCTTTGTTTAATTGCTGAAACTATATTCTAAATCAAATATTTCAATGAATTTACATGTTATCCCAGAATCTGAAGCTATGAATGGAAAAATTACTTTTTTTTGGTCAAATAATTAATTATTGTCTATTATTAAAGAAATAATATA